CATTTTGACTCCTATCGGCTATACACAACTAAAAAGATAAAGAATGCAACTGCGTACTACCAGGACTCACTTTGGTCGTATTTGTTAACAGAAGTAAAACTGAGTTATAGCTTGTCTCTCTATTTTGGTTCTTTTTTTAAAAATCCAGATATTTGTCTGCCTAGGTGAAATTCCTGAACGCCTTAATATAAGACTGAAAGAAATCAATACTTTTTTGGGCTGAAATGTTTGAGTTTATGCATGTGAATTGTCAAATACTGAGTAATTTTTTTCTAATTTGAAACTGAATAAACTGCACAGTGAAAACAGATATGACTGGTTTTTTTGAACTTATCATATAATTATTCATGCACAATATTTTCCCTGCAAACACCTGTAGTTAAGTATCAATAATCAATTAAAACCATAATTAAAAGCATCTTATTTGAACAAAATGCTGTTAATCAGAACACTTTCAAATACTCCGATTGCTGAGAAGTTACCGAAGTCGTATATCTGTAGTTATGTAGTTTTTCCAGTCACTAATGTAAATGATTCATATGACTATTCTTTGGGAACTGAAAAATAAAACAAATTCTAGACAATCCTGTCCTTCTCTATTGGGAAAGGAAAGAGTCTCGAATTGCAGCGGATGTTTTTCCCTCTTCAACAGAGAACAAAATACAGAGAGAGAGGAGGTGAGATCCTGTGCATCTTTTCTGACATTATTACCTCCAAAATTCATGGCTTTCCTAGGCATTTTTATTGTAAATGAAATAATTTTCATAGTGCTTTTGGACTACTCTTTCCATTCAGAATTTTCGAGTATACAGCCTAATATAGCTGGGGTCTGAAGTAGGATTAGTTCTTTTGAAACAGATTAAAGGAGCAATTCACTTTTTAAATTTTGGTGCTTTGCTAACATCTTAGGGATACCTGCTTCTGAGTGCTTCGCTTAGAAGCACTCTGGTGGGAATTCTTCTGTGAGTTTGGAAATTCTATTAAATATGGAAAGTTAATGTCAAGAAATAGTAGATAGACTTAAAACTTACGCAAGATACATGCTCAGTGGCCAAGTGTTTCAAGGACACTTGCAGATCTAGGAGGGAAAAGTTCTAGGATGCTGGTCTAAAGATGTGGTAAATCAACTGATTACTGTAGTATTAAAAAGGTTATAAGTTGTTTATGCAGTTCTTGCACTTAAGTGTATGAACTATAAAAACAGCAACAATTTTTGTCATGCCTGTTGGAGGATGATTTTAGTCTAGTGGTTCTGATAAGCTGCTTAAAACACACACTTCACGGACCTGATAAAATCTTTCTCAAGTGTCACAGGAATGCTACTACAAGCATGATAGTCAGGTTATAGCGCTTGTTCATAAATGTTTGCAGTATTACTTGCAGAAGCCTGGCCAGAGGGGCTAATTTTTCTATGGGTAGATGAAAATAATTTGACTATGTGTTAACTGCTGAGTGCTCAGTAAATAAGTAAATAGTGGATGTTCCTGAAATGGGATGTTGGAAACGACCTTCCATAATCTGACATGTAATCCATCTAGTGACATCTTGTATGCTGAAAAACCAGCATTAGATGGCTAAGGTGATGAATTTTGAATGCTGTCGTTGTGCATGGACTTTTGAAGTAGTAGAGCCATTGCAAAATGCACTGGAATTGCAGTCATGCGTACAACACAAGAGAAGAGCCACTTCTGTACCAGTGGTCTCAATATCCTTCCTGTAGTTGTGCTTTCTGACAGTAGTGCCTCATCCTTCCAACGTACTGTCATGGCATGCAAGGTCATGCTTCTGGCACAGGAGCTCCATATCGAATCTTACTGCATCACTCCTTAATCTGGACCTCTCTTGCCCCTTTGCTGCAGGAGGTTTGTGGGAGTGGACGCAACCTCTTTGCAGATTGATTGCAACCAGCCAGTTTTCCAAGACAGCACTGGTGAGAAAAGCGGTGCTGGCTCCTATCCTTCCTGTGCTTTGCTCAATGTAGTATTTCCTTGGGAGATGACCAAAGAAGTGAACTTCCCATATGTGGCATGCACATCACCAAGTCCCAATGCAAGCTAAAGACAACCTGTGGAGGGAGGAGGTTAGGTTCCAGGTTGGCTGAATGAATCTCTGTGAATAGGAGATCAGAATGAGCAATTTTGTTACTAAAATTATCCTATTATACAGCATATGCTGATTTTTTTTCTCATTTCTCCTACTACGTGACCTTGTATCTGAACCTAAGGCAAATCAGCACAGGCACTGGCCTCACTGTTCCCATTTGAAACAGCCTGTCGGTTTTTCAACAACTTGCCTTCAAGTCATTTTTCAAAACAGGCTTAGCTGAAGATGAGTGTTTACTGTCACACTCAATAGCTTTGTGGGAAAGATGAATTGTAGCTGCCTGACAACTCTGACACCCTATTTGTGAGACGGTATATGGCCATAAAGTGTCACAGAGATCTAGCCCACTGGAGACAGTATTGCAGCAAAGTTGTTTGGAGAGGTCACAAACTTTCTCTGCAAGGGAGCCTCTGCAGGGAGTGTCCCCTTGCTCAGACAGCAATGTATAATATAGTGCCTTGGGTGGATCCCCATTAGGTGTGTTTCAGAAGCAGGGAGGACATGGAGATATGTGGAGTGAGCACACCGTGATTGCTTTCTGCTTCTCAGCACTCCTGAGAAGCTGACTGCAAGACAGAGCAGCGGAGGCTGCTTTTGTGCTCTGGCTTTGCTTGGGAGGTGCTAAGTGCCATACTGTGCTGGGAGGTCCTGATCCCTCGCATGCGGGATGGTGGTAATGTGGCCCACATGCACAACATCCTCCAGGCTATGGGAAAAGAGCAGTGTTGGGGGATGAGGACAGTTGAGGAGCTAGGACTAACCTTCAGTTTAGGCACAGGTAGTAACACTGGACCCCACAACGTCAAAAGCACTAAAATAGCACAAGTGCAACAGTGATACAGATGTGTTTCCCTTCCCTTTTTTTCCTTGTCCAAGTGTAGGAACAGCTTAACTGTCACCCAGGGCTATACAGAACCACCAGGTGCCAACCATCTGTTTTACTTCCAGCACATTTTATTTATTAATATTTTTTTCTTGCTGGCAATGTAGTTTTCCCCATATTTCTTTTCCATTTGCATTGCGTATTGTAGAAAGTAATCATGAACATAAAATTTTAGTTAAATGATACAAAAAGAAACTAATCAAAGTCGAGTTTTTTATCAAGTGCACTATAAAACTTTCTACATTTATTGCAGAGAGCAGTGACACATACATAATTTGTTCCTGAATAAGCTATTTTGTAAAACGCTGGCACTTCAGTCACCTGAGCAGCATACTAAATTGAATGCCTCTGTTCCGTGCTTTAGGACAGGGTGTATGTACCGGCTGTCACGAGACTTCCGAGCAGGCCAATAGAACATATACAAGAATTGTGTATAGCGACCCCAAAATTTCAAGGCTTGTGAAACAGAACAGACTGTACCCTTGGCTGGCATCTCCCACAAGGCTCTTCTGCCTCTTGCTATGACCCAGTCTGCTCTGTAGCACTCACACTGTGATCCTGCAAGGGCCTGCGTAACAAACGCTGCCTGACTCAGGCCATAATGTCATGGCTTAAAAGCATGCTAGGCTTATGGCTGGCTTCTGGCCATTAGTTTTCTGTACCATGGTTTCCAGGCCCGTCTATGCCTTGGAGTCAATATGTGGCAGTCTATACAGTATGTCTGTGCAGCACTTCTTCCTATGGATTTGTCTTACTCAAACGCCTTCAAAGAGCAGGACACATTTATACTTTTCCCTTCAAAGATCTTGGGGTACACTGACAGGAGCCATGGTATCTCTCCATTGTATTTTTGTGCTTGGGACCTAACACGCTGACACCCTCTCTTATAGGGAGTGCCTGCAAACCCGGGCTAGAGCCGGAGGTCATCAGCATGGAGTGATGCAGGACAGGATATTGAAAGCAAGGAAGTGTGAGGAGACATGTCCTTACATCCTCCTTACTTATGGGGAAGGATGGTTTTAAGATATGTGGGGCAATGAATGAGAACAACGTCATGTGTCATCAAATGTGATATGATCAAATTTTATCCCTGGCAAGAGATGGTGTTGCATTATCGTCTAAATAAAATGATTCATGTCGTCATGCAGTCAGGCTAGAGGCATAGACTGACCATCACTGGTAAACAAAAAGAAAACAGCATTCCAGGTTCTCGGAAGCTATGGTCATCTAAAAGCCACCAGGGCATGGGACAGGGTGGAACAACTTTCTTCCTCCACTGCAGAAGACACGGGAGCAGGACATCTGTGAGGAGTCACACATCTCTCCCTCAGCACAGACACAAGTTCTCCATGAGAGGTGGAGTCTCTCATGGACTCCGTGACGGACTGCAGTGTGTCAAGTTTGGACAGACTGAGTGCTGTCCTGTTTTCAGCTTTCAACAGAAGCCTTTCCAGATTACTTGTGACCTACTGGCAATGGTGTTACCCTCAAAAATACTGAGCTCTGCCTTTCTCGGTTGGCCCCCTGCCAAGACAGCTATCTTCTCTTGCAACTCAGGCAAGCGACCTCACACTTGTCTGTCCTGGCTTTAACCCCTTTGTAGCACTAGCACATTTCGCATGGCTTGGCTTATGTGAGAGCCAGATTCAGACTTAGTCAGTTCCAAGGTAGGTCTGGGAAGGTCTTGGACTCATTTTTGTGTGGATTTTGCACAAAATGAACAGTCTGTTCTGTTGTTCCCATTCTCTCTGCACTTAACTGTTTCCTGGTAAAATGGGCATAGTCCACAGAGTCTTCTCAGTGCTAAAGTCACCTTGAAAGAAAACATCATGTCCCA